TATCTTAATTAACTCTTCATCTGTCTACTAAGCTAAGGTAGTTCCTATTGCGCAGTCGCTACAACTTGTATCGTAAATTCTGTGCTTGGATGCGCCAAATAACAGTGAATATCCTCAAAATTACACTTTTACATTTTTTAATTTTATAAGATAAGGGTGACAAACCAGTACACAGTCCACTTGATAGTAAATGGTTGGTGTGACATAGATTTATCCTCGATTACGAATCCCGTTACCGCTAAATCAGCCAAGGCGGAGTTTATTTTAGAGGTGAAACACGTGTCGCAGTCTACGGTGGTATGTGTTTCCTAATGTAGTGGTGTTGGCGTTGTGTTATTGGGATTTGTGGTGATGGGGATGGTGCTCTCAGCTAAGGGAGGGCAGGGTGCTAAACTAGGCAAGACACGTCTTTTTATTTTATTACGCGTATGTTAGGTAATTATTTTTTAACATCTTTAATATAATGGATTACAAAGTGACGCCTGATTCTGTTTGTTGTAATACATTTTATGTTTACGCTATTGTCTATTGGCATCGGAAAAGACAACAACGTCTAAGCTAGTAATAAGATTAATTGTTAATTTATTGATATAATAAAATAATAAATTATTATTAACTAGATTTTACAGTTAATACTGTTGACCTTGCTGAAAAATGGTCTATATGGAAGCGCCACAGAACCTAAGTCAAACTCTTCTGGACCTAAAGATATGTAAGTATGTACCTTCATTTAATTTGTAATTTGAAATAAGTGTCTAACGACCTATCTACTTACAGTATTAGTGATTACAAACATGTCGGTACATAGCATACGACCCGCGGGGAAGTGGGGGCGAAATTAGAAAAATAAGTAACCGGATTCTAGCGGCATACGTGGCTATTAAATGCCGTGGATATGCTCTATAATTTTTCTTCTGCTTGTGAAATTTCTAAGGATATTGTTTTTTATATAATACTGGCTGAAACTCGGCGCGTTGCTGCCGCAAAAGAAATAATTATGGAAATATCGTTTTAAATTTGGAAGAGATATAATATTGTTTAGTTACTTTAGCATATCAATGACATGTTGCAAACCGGTAACATTCATTCCTATGCAGACGACAGTACTGGTGATGCTTTATACACCGGCCGTGCCAATATTTTTAGGGAAGACGTCGCAGAGTACCGGGACAAACTTGTGTCCGAAGTCGAAAATTTGTTGAACAAAGTCTCGGACTGGGGGCGACTAAATCTAGTCTAGCTTAATCCACAGAAGACACAAGTTTGCATGTATACCGCTAAAAAAACCCCTTCGTATCTCCTCAGTTTCAAGGCACTCCCCTTTTTGATTCAGCCAGTATCGGAATCCTCGGCGTTGACATATCAAGCGACCTTCAGTTTCGTGGTCACTTGGAAGAGAAGGCCAAATTGGCCTCTAAAAAGCTTGGCGTGCTCAGTAGAGCGGGACAGTATTTCATGCCGGCTCACCGCCTGCAACTTTAGAAGGCGCGGGTTCGGCTGCACATGGAATACTGTTCCCATCTCTGGGCCGGGGCTCCCCTGTGCCAGCTCCTTCCATTTAAAGAATTCGTATCCAGCGCAGAGCTGTTCGAATCGTCGGCGACCGAGCTCTTTCTAGTCGGCTTGACTCACTGGCACTGCGAAGAGATGTTGCATCTCTTTGCGTATTTTATCGCATCTACCACGAGGAGTGCTTTGAGGAATTGTTCGTACTAATTCCAGCCGCACAATTTCACCATCGCACACATCGCGACAAACTCGCGATACCATCCGTACCATCATGATGACTGGCGGTCCACCACCGTGCGATTTAAAAGAAGTTTTCTTCCTCGCAAAACTTCCTTGTGGAATCGACTACCACCAGAGATTTTTCCGGACCGAAATGACTTTGGCGTCTTCAAGAGCCTACTCCTTTTAGAAGGCCGGTAACGCATTTGCAATTCCCCTGGTGTTGCAGTTGCTCATGGGCGGCGTCAATCACTTACCATCAGGTGAGCCGTATGCTTGTTTGCCCCCCCCCCTCCTATAAAAAAGTTAGGAAAAATAACACCGGAACAATTCGCGCGCCGCTAACTGTACTGTAAGTTAATTGCACTATATAACCTTCGCGCAAGTGCAGCTAATAAGTTATATAGTTTTAGGTTTTAGCGCAATCTGATGAACTGTATGGCAGCGCATAAAATACGAACAAACCAATATTATTTTGTATATTAGGTTTTAGTGGATAATGAGCAGTTTACCCAATTACATGTGGTCACTGACATCAGTTTACTTCAGGCCAGACTGCTGACCTATAATGCCATACATGGCAGCAACTTGCGGTACGCAACCGCGATGAGAGCGTGAGTACCCGTACTCCGGATCAGACAATGGTCCGAGGAGCTATGATAAGTTAAGATAGATAGATATCGGCGACGACCTGACATCCGTCCGGATGAGAGGTCAGCCGAAGGTCCAACAGGGAAGGTACATGGTCTTACACATCTGAGATTCGTGTAGGCGAGGTAACGAGTTGTGTCAGACCATATGCCAAAGCAAAGTCATAAACAGATCTACCCGCATGATCGGTTAAACAAGAACCAAGCCATTCAGCGTGGTTGGTGTTAAAATCACCAAGTATCACGATTTCTGCGGATGGGATCTGTTGTAACACGGAGTCTGTAGCCATCTGGACATGCTTGATAAATCGGTCTGTTTCGGCATTACCGCTATGGGATCTATAGAGGCACCCGTAGACCCGGGATGGTCGTCGCTGTCTACACGCAGCCATAAGATGGACAGGTGCGTACGTTCAGGGCGTGCAGTAAACTTCAAATAAAGATGATAAACTACAGATGTATTAACAACGAGGACTAAGATGGCTTGCTTCATAGCTCGTAAATACAGCTTGTCATTCCCATAAAATTAAACTATATTTACGGATTTTATCGCGTTTATTTTAACTTATTAATTCCTGACGTTTTGAGTGCTTTACAGCATCCATGGTCACGTTAAGTACTGCGATGTTTGACGTCCCGAAGACCTCAGTTCTCGACGATAATGTTCAAAAACTGAAGGTATTGGGTTAACCCAGCTACCTTCAGTTTTTGAACATTAATTTTTGGTCCGATCTACGCAGAACTAGCTTATAGTCTTGAAGTCTTGCAGTGGTATGCTTGGATTTAATTTCATTAATTACGATGACCAACGCGGTACCCCGAAAATCTGCAGTCTGTGAACATGTTCAAAATCTTCGTCGGTCATAGACCGGTCTTGATAGACCACCAATACTCGCAAAAGAACACCGATTCCCACTAATGATAATTCTAAGGCTATTGAAATAAAAAAACATCCTAATTTCTATAGAGAAAATGGATGTGTGCTACCATCCGCTTGGGATCCTATAATTAATGAAATTAAATCCATACCAAAGCATACACAAAAGTGAGTATGTAATTCCTGTAGGATAGCTATTTATCATTGGTCATAGTTCTACGACAAATATTCCCTTTTCGCCTCACATACATTCCTAGCTATAAATGTAGACCACTCAGTTCGTAGAAATAACTACACAAAACAGCATAAGCTTTTGTTGCGCTCTGCCTCTACGCCGGGTCTCTATATATGGAAACGCTTCATTTTCTTTTGTGTAACAAAATACCGGTTTAACTATTTATGAACGTTTAAAGTTGTTCATTTTATTAACTTCGGATACGTTACTGTATGAACAGGTTTTAATATAGACTCTTTTTTTTCAACGTCATGTACACCTCGTATGAACAAAAAAGCAGATCGTTACGGAGAACGAAACGTCTCGAAAATATGGTAATCTAGCAAAACAAAAAGTCATTTAAAGAATACGTCACCGTACAGTGGCGGTGTAATAATATACACCACCCCATATCGTCTCGTGGGTGTCGAAAGAGGCAATAGACAACAAACGGGCAGCGTCTTACTACGTCTTAACTTTCTCTTACTAAAAACTACAAAAAAGAATTAAAAACGCGGAAACCGATCCGCCCTTCAAACGTGACAACTACGCCAAAACATAAGGCAATCTATGGGAGAGGTGTCTGTACCGGTAAAGTTACAACCTATATACGTCCCACTGCTGGACACAGGCCTCCCCTCATTTCTGAGAAGGTTTTAGGGCAAGGAAATGTCCGCCGCGCCGCCCCAATGCGTGTTGGCGAACTTCACATGTTTTAGAAATAATTTTTTTTCTTATTCTTCAGACATGCAGGTTTCCTCACGATGTTTTCCTTCACCGCCGAGCACGTAGTAAATCAGCACTTAAAATTGCAATTAACAATTTCATTGGTGCCGGCGGGGATCGAACCCGGGTTACTCGCGTTCCTTTATACTTACAGCGAGCGTTAACCATATGAGCTGCCACGGCTAATCTGTACCGCTACTTATTTATACTTGTATTGATAATTTAAAAATTACAAATATTTCGCACAAAGCGAACGTTTTTCATTGGGCTAGACAACTTGATCTATTCCATTGAATAAATCTACTTTTACGGATTTTATCGCGTTTAATTTACTTAATTTTAATTCATGACGTTAACACCGACATCGCGACGTCAATCACCTTTGTTCCCCCGTGACCATGGGTACTGCAAAGCGTTCGAACCTTCGGGAACTAAAATTAAGTAAATTAAACGCGATATAATCCGTAAAAATAGATTTATTAAATGTGTAGTATTCGCGTAAATGTAAGAAATCATTTGTCTAGTCCAATAAAAACGGGTCCCAAAAGTAATGTAACTCCCGAGGAGAACGATGAATTGGAAGTGGTTCCATGACATCGTGATAGCAATATGAGGGTGCTGGGGGCAGGGATAGAAAAGCGAGAGAAAAGAAAAATAATCAAGTCCTGATTCCGAACGGAGATCCTGGGACCCCTAGTATACGCTGATGAACAACTTGGTCTACAGTAAGGTGCATTGTTACAGGTACGTAGTCCGAGCTACGGTGTACCAAGTTGGGATCCTAACGAATAAAACAGACGGAGCAATGGAAAGGTAACAGTTAGTAACCGATAAAAAAATGTGTCATAACCAAAAATATGTTGATGGTGAAAGAGAATACAATCCATCACCCTATTTCCGGGGCGTAGCGTAAGAAGCGACTGTGGGAAGTGGTAGGAAAATTCTATGGTTTTCGATGGATGGCGATATAACCATTTTGTTTACCGTTACGTACTATTAAAGTCGAAGTCAAGAAACCTTCAAGAGCTTACCGTTTGTTAAAGGCCGGCAACGCAGCTGCAATTCCCCTGGAGGTTCAGTTCGTGGGTGGCGGTAATCGCTTAACATCAGGTGAACATACTTGTTTGCCCTTTTCTTCTATGGATAAAATAACGTAGGAAACAAAAATCGATAAGGAACTTCGCAAAGTATGAACAGCTGTTTTAATTGTTTTAGGATTCCGTTCCCCTAAATAATAAAACGGAGCCCTTATAGGCTAACTTAATTGTTCTTATAAGTGTACCATCGATTCGCCTGTTTTCCAGGAAAAGATACCTGTTGTATCAAAAATAAATTGATATCAAATAGATTCTGTGGTCTCTCGGGTGTATAAAAATTTCAGTTTCTAAATAAGTCAACGCTTTCATATTTTTTCAAATTGCAAACTTACTCATTAAAAATTATTATTTTCCGTTGAGCTAGAACCACGAAATTAGCCAAGAAGCCAGGTCTCATAGCAAAAGTAAAGAAAACGCCTGCCATTTGTCTAGTCCAGTGGATGTATGGTTGTAAGCACAAATGATATGATGTCGTCGAATTCTGTGTCGGTCAAATCAGTTATTGGCTTTTTCTCTACAAAAATTATCACTCCGGGGTGCTACTGGGAATTCCACCGCCGTGCCTGCGGTGCTTGAACTGCTGTGTTTCCGTCTGAATATATACTTATATGCTGTGAGGTATTACGTCTTAGTCCTCAGAGGTGACTACGCACCTGTAGCCTCCCTTGTTTAAAATCGCCTGCATGTGTCCATACGATCGTCTGTCACTTCAGTTTAAAAAAATATCCATATAAAACAATATTAACCTTTTTAGATAAAAAGCAGTAAAATAGAATAGTTCACATAATGATTTTTTATATCTACGCGAACACTACACATCGATTAAAACTACTTTTACGGATTTTATCGCGTTTAATTTAATTGATTTTTAATTCCCGACGTTTCGGCAGCGATCGGACCATCGGACTATAAATATTTTTTATTTATTTCATTTTCGATCACACATATTTACATACATGAACAAATATGATTACAATTAAAGAAAGTAACAATAAGGCTAATAAAAATAAAATGCAATAATAAAAATTAATACTATGTGTAGCTAGCTAATAATGTAGAATCTACAAAAGAAAAACTGAAAACTCAAGTTTATAATATTAACTACCTGCCTGAACTAGGTTTAGTACCTGTGTTTCAGACCATCACTTACACTATGGGTTTAATTATGTTGGATACAAGATAATTTAAGTAATTAAACTATATTATATATTAAATAAAACAACTAAGTAACAATTGTTTGTAGCCTACAATTAATACAAAACTATTTTAGAATTTCTAACAACTTCCTTGTGTCTTCGTAATTTAATTTATTCAGATATTCCCTTACAAAATTATATTACATTTCTTATAACTTACTCTATATATCTTTAGTGACTTGTTGAGCTTGTTATATAGAAATGGTCCCAAAAATATGTAAAATCTGTTTGAGGGTTTTCACAAACACACAAACTAAGTCCATTCTTCTCCTGTCTATGAATTTTAAGTTAAATGAAATTTCGGTATGCTGTTTTAGGTAATATGATGTTCAGAATAAACAACTGACGGACAGTTAGTACACTACATGCCAAGTAAAGTTGATGTGTAGGAAACATGAAAAGTGGCTACCTTTAGATCTGCTCTCTGAGCACGTTCTAGTGGGAGCAATATTGTTTTAGAAGCACCACCCCAGGAAGTAATGCCATAAGTCAGTATTGATTGACACAAATCTAAATAGACTTGTATCAATTTAAAGGCAGCGATGTTACGGAGATATTTAAAAATATACGTTAATTTAGGAACTCTAGCACAAAGTATATCGATGTGCTTGCGGTCCTAGATATTTTATACTGTCCGTTTTTGTTAATGCGAGACATGCGCATGCAGTGTCATCATACGATAAATCATATAAATACAGTGATACCGTGATTATTTATAGTGCACTATACCCATTAATTAACTTTTCACTTATTTTTATATCCTATTTAGGTTGTCTGGAAGAGATTGCTGCATAGCAATAAGACCGCCTTTTGTTTTTCTCTTTGTTTCTTGTTATGTTGTATTTTTTAGTGTTCACATACCTAACATAAAACATATACATACATATATAAACACTCACGCCTGTCACCCAGAGGGGTAGGCAGAGACTACAGACTTCCATTTGGCACGATGCTGACACACCACTCTCGCCTCCTCCATATCCATATACCTACGCATACATGCTCGTCGGTTAAGGGTACTCCTAATTTGGCCCGTTATCAATAAACCGCCAATTTGGTCGATACATTTTCGCCTAGGACGTCCCTTTCCCACTCTGCCATTCACTTCTGCAACATAAATTTTCTTTGTCACTCTTTCCTCATTCATTCTTTCCACATGACCAAACCACCGGAGCATTCCTTTCTTAATCCTGGTCACAACATCATCTTGCAAACCACACTCTTCTCTTATCACACAATTTCTCACCCTGTCATTCAGATTCAGCCCTAACATACTCCTTAACGACCGCATTTCTACTGCGTTCATTCTACTCTCGTGCCACACCCAACTTTCACTACCATACGTTAAAGTAGGGACCAACACAGCATTGTGAATTTTAAATAATTTTAGTGTTCAATAAAGGGTATTGTATTGTATTGTATTGTATACCTGGATAACTGGGACCTTAAGGGACCTGCAAATTTGTCTCACTTAAAGAGGTATTCCACTTACCCAGTGTCTCAGATATCTAGCTATAAACAAGTATCTGTCTCATTTACAGTATGTTCCATTAATAAAGGTAAAAATAGAAGTTTTTAGTTATAGAAGTACGATTATTAAGTAAAATTACGTATTTTGTAAAAATTATACATAAATAAGATAAAAGTACGCGTTTTAGTTTTTCTACTTCATCGCGCGTCTTTCCACTTTTATAAACGGATATTAACGGTTATGTACTAACCGCAGATATAGAGGTTTGTATGTTTGAGGAAATTCAGTGCTAAAGTGTCAGGACCTAAGCATGAGTTCCAGCTATGGAGGTTTCTCTCTTCACCAAGTTTTATTGTGATTAAAAAGCTAAAGGTATTCGGGGTTAATACTGACATCGGGACGTCAGTCACCTCAGTCCCCCATGACCATGAGTGTAGCAAAGCACCAGAAACGGGAATTAAAAATCTAATAAAATAAACGCATAAAAATCCGTAAAAAATAGTTTGAATCAATTGAATAGTTTATTTTATGTGTGTCCACGTAGAGGTAATCAAGAAGCAATCACCTTTTACCATCATAACGGATCGGCTGTGAACTTGAGTGGCATCTCTAACCCGCTAATGACCAACGTGACCGCGCAGAGCATGGTCGGAGTGGCACCAGTCGCAGAAGGTGGAAACCAATCCAACAGGATCTTGCCGTGGTCTACATTGGAGAAGTTGGCGGTATTGCCGCCTGCAACAAATATATCTGGTAAGAAAAGAAGTAAGAGAGGAAGAAAGAAACAAATTTTGGTAACAAATATTTATTCATTTTTTATAACTTTTTACTGGAAACGAGGCATTCCAACTTAGTCCTCACGGGTGACAACGCATCTGCATTTTGATTTGTAATCGAGGATAGATGTAGATGTTTATGGGCCGCAGCAACCCCTTACCATCATGTGGACTGTGTGCTCGTTTGTCACCATACCACCATACCATACCAACATACCTCCCCCGTTCACTAGGATTTTCTATTGTGTCGTGGAGGCAGATCACAAATATAAATTGGACAAACATCAAAACACGAAATGATGATTTGTAGGTTATAATGCAAATACTTGTTATTGCCTTAATGCCACAACTCAAAGCTAAGCCACTGTGCGACGGAACCGTCAGCGACAATAGTATAATGGAAGGGTGCGGATTACGAATTTAGAATCGTGAGTTCGACTACTGTAGTAAACCACTCTTGAGACCATTAACCGTCTTATTGCAAACATAAGATTATAATTAGTCTCAAGTTTAAACTAGAGTCTGTATACAAAGAAGTCCCATTGAAATGTGCGAACAAAACAAATTTTAAATTTCGAGAAGACTGTAGCGCCACCGCTAAAGGATTTCTTTCCTGCCAAAGACACCTTTGAAGCCAAGCCTAGCCTAGCCTTTGAATAAATAAACCATGTTAACAAAACGTAATATAAATTAATAACAGGAACGTTAAATTTTAACTGGATTGATTACCTGAAATATACTACACATTTGTAATAATATATATTTAGTAATTATTTTTCAAAAACACACTTAGGTAATAAGGCACATAAAATTAAAAAAAAAAATGTATAACAAATTAAATAAAAATGACAACATTGTACTGATGTAACTATATGCTTACAATTAATATTTAAAATATATTCTAGTCACCAGCGATTTTTAATCTAGAACCAAAGTAACAAGCGTCGCGGGTTCGAATCCCTCACGGAACAAGTATTTGTATGGCCTACAATAATTGTCCCTGGTATGGTTGTTTATCCTTATAAAATCTATATATGTGATTTTTTTTATAGGTTAAGGGTGAAAAACGGGCACACAGTCCACCCTATGGTAAGCAGAAACTGTAATGTCGGGTGACATTCCATTCACAGACGCCTGAAGACTAATATGGAATGGAATCCTTTCTAGTGTCAAGGGTCTCCAGATCTATACACACTCACCATATGAAACACAACAGCATTAAGCTGTTATTTCATGCTGGTATTCTGTGAGATCGTGTTCCTTCCCATGCTGAGCTTACCTATTCGTGCTACAACCATAAGACAGCTGTAGCATGGCTCTACCACGAATAATCGTCCGATGGGCAAACGGACCTCATCCAGCCGAAGATATTGCCAAAAACACAGCGCTGGTTTTCAGTGCGCTCGAAAAGCAAAAAGTTATTTAGAAATAATTGCCTTAATTTATTTTACAGGCGTTTTATTTGTAAAACAAATTCTCTACGTCATTATCATTATTGCAGTCATTAAAAGTGCAGCGATAAACTCAGCTCACCTTGTGTTTTGTCGCAATCTATGCAGAATGTTGTAATTTCGCGTGGCTTACCACCTCAATCTAAGACACAACATATATCGTATAACAATACGCAAAATCCCCGATAAAATAGGGCAGTATTTATGAAATACAATTTATGAGATATCCAAGCTATAACGGCTCTGTGGCGAAGTGGCTTAGGAATGAATTGCAGCGCTAAACGTCGTGGATTCGAATCCCTCTTGGAACAAGTATTTGTATTATTACACAATAATTGTCCCGGGTCTAGTTGTTTGTCCCTGTAAAACCTATGTATGTAAAAAAATTATAGGATAAGAATGCAAAACGAGCACACAGTCCACCTGATGGTAAGTGGTTTCTGTGGCCCATAGACATCTACATCTATCCTCGATTACGAATCAAAATGCAGGGTACCAAATTTTTTAATTTCTCAGACATGCAGGTTTTTCACGGTGGTTTTCTACACATTTGAAGACAAAGTAAATCAGCACTTAAAATTACAATTAGCAATTTCATGAGTGCTGGCGGTGATTGAACGCCAGCAAGCGCTTAACCGCTGAGGTGGAAACTCACTGTTCTAATAATCATGTCGCATAAATGTATTGTAAACGCATAAGTAAGATATTATTATTACTTTTTACAGGGGATCCAAAACAATCTTCAAAATCTAAGCGGGATGTTGCTAGTGTGCCTGTGAAAGTCGTCAATGGTGCCGCAATGATCCCGCCTGAGAATGGAGTGCAATCATTAGCCCTCCCTCCCCTTTTAGCCATCAACAACAACCTCTCCCAAATACCGGTACCTATACCTAATACATCCGTAGTCCGTTATGCAAAGATCAACACTTTGATTAAAGCTCCTTGAAGATTTTGAAGCTAGTTGCCATCATCAATATTTTTTATTATCGAACAAAATATAAGGAATTATATATTTAAGGGCCGAGTTTTCAATCATCAAATAAAAGTTATCCAACAAATAATAAGTTATAACCTAACTGAATTACAATGTGCAACACTTGAACGAGTATTTTATTTAATATCAGTATTTTTAATGTTGTATTTTTCTCTATAGTAAGTATGAGTATGTATATATATGCTCAGGAAAATCTATACTTACATATAATAAAAATGTAAATTGTAATGTGTATTGTAAATATTTTTGTAACAAAATTGATTGAGAGGGGCTCAAAATAAGTAACGGAATACATTTCTATTATTTTTAGAATTGTCTGTATTTCTGTTTGTTTGAACGTATCATTTATAAAGTACTGATTTATATCAAAATAATCGCTAGGAAAATTATGTAGCATATCTTCGTTTTAAATTTAGTCTTCGTTTTATACAAACTGGTTCATGCTATCAAAAGTTATGATTAATATTCTGAAATGTGGGTACGAATTTGTTCAATGGTGGCGTTGCGTGATCAAGGACATTTTTGTAATTAAATAATGTTAAATAGTGTTCCATAATGATATAATTGTATATAAACGCAGTAAACAAAAATAATAAAGAATAGTGTAACACATATTTATAAAAAATATATAAATCCTAATATCTTCGTTTAAAAAAACAATAGTTATCCATTGTCATCGACAGATGGTGTTGTGCAAATTATTTATTCAATTTTAAGGTGTGCTTACGAGTATAATGGCCGAATACGACGCGAATGACCTTGCTAGTTTCGCAGCAAACCACGCGCCGCCAGTACCTACGCTTTGTTTATATAGACATGTATAATACCTATAATCAAAGCCGTACGGGCTTTGATTATATTTGACTGAACTAGCTCAGATGCAGAGTAATGAACAACACAGAGAGCATTGCTTACTTCTTAAATAAATTTTTCTTATTTATAGTATTAGTTCCTATCGATTATAAATTCTGTACTTTATTCGTTATAAAATATTGTTCGAAAAGTTATTGAATTGATAACGATTTTTTTCTTAATTGGTGCATCGTACGTAAAGAATCTCATATAACTGAAAATGTTTGTTCTTGTGAGTCTTACAAGATGCCGTAATGCAAATTGCATAAATAATAAAGAAAAAAAAACTAAAAAGTCGGTGATTGCCCCATAGTAGGGATAGGTACTGTGTATGTAAATTCTCACAAGACTACTCCGACTGGTCAATCATTTCACATCCGAAGTATTTCGGTTTTTCTTAATTATGTACTTTTACCCCATGCTTTCGGACAATACATTGACTGACATTATTTGCGGTCTCTGTGCTTGCACTACTCTGTACATTCTTTTCCGACTGGGTCTTGATATTTTACATTTTTAGTGTTTCTCACTTGAAACTAGAAAAGTATAAATGATCAGTTTGGCTAATGTAAATGAGTAAAAATGCAACCTATTAGGCAGCCTCAAACAAAAAATTACCTTACTAAATATAAGTATTAACCTCAAAATACAACATTCGAGCAGCGTTCATGCGATAAACTCTCTTTGTTTTACCACTTAGGTAACATTTATTTCTTTTCCTACCCATATTTACATTTATAGACACTTAAACGCCTATAAAACAATAAATTAACGATTTTCGCTACAGACACATCGACTGTTGTTACCTTACGTCACATGTCGAAGCGCCTGGTAATTTATTACGGCAAACTTTTATCTGGCAATATACGATATTATTATTAGGTGTTTTTAATTAAAACGAATTATGTTAATAAATAATATTTTGTATCGAAAATAAAGATAGCAGGTACCTTCGGAATTACAATACAAACATTTTTACGTAAAAGAATTTTTCCTAAATTAAAATTCACAGAGTTTTGGAAGAACAATAATTTTATATATCATTTCTTAACATTCTTTTATTTGTTGGTATATTCATTAATTTTAAAATGACGGTGACATTGTTAAGGACCCGAACAAACCTACAAAAATGTTTTAAAGCTTAGAATTACTTCAGGTCAAAGTTCTAGTCAAGAGAAATACATAAATTTTCGCCAGTTCTCTTCGTATTCGGCCTTAAATTGACTTATAATTTTGAAAGAGCTATTAACAATTATTTTGGTTTTGCAAGGATCATATCCAGAAGCTTGGCAGTAAACATATTATACTTCCATTTTGCCCTTCCAAAAGTTTTAAAATTTTCATTGTCGTGAAATTAAAAAATTACGTTATCCGAATTTGAGTTTTATATATTATTCCTACTCGTTCTTTTCAAAATATCATATAATTTTTAGTTTACTGTAATAATATATTAACTACTACAATTTTATATAGACGGCGCTATAAGTATTTTCAAGCACCATAAAGTTTTATATTATAAACGATGTACATGTAATATGAAGGAAACACAATATGTAAATAATTACACTGCTTGCTGCTTTCAATGCAATGTTTGTATTGGACAAATATGTTGCTTCCTTTTATCCAGTAACCTTTACAGCATTTTAAAGTCCACTGCTGAACATAGGCCTCCCCATTGATTGCCTCATATTTGGCATAAGTTCCACGATCTATCACGCACATTTTACCCGATTACGGAACCGAAGAAGCAGGTATATTAAAATATACAGCCAATATAATATGGTTCACGGCTGAGTATAGGCATTCAACGAAATGTATACATAAAAAAGAATATATTTGTAGTCATTCTCACACTTCTTGGAGTTCTTCGGGGAAGAGAGAGTGCATATTTGTGTTTTTATTTGCTAAGTTAATAGGTATCTACTTAAATTAGACAAAATTCTTATTTTATGTCAAAAGTTTTTTTTCGTTTTCAAACAGCATTTATATAATTTATAACAAAATTAAATTTAATTTTCCGTAAAGTTAGTGTGCCATTTACCGACAGATGTCACTGTTCACTGTGTATCTACTATAATATATTCTTTATGGAGCGTAGAGGTACCTCTACACTCCATAATTCTTTATATACTGAGTCATAGATACTAAACTACACTGAGCGACTACCAAAACCGCTTGAAATAGAAATCTAAAATTTGGACTTTTTATGACATAGAAATCCGCTGTGAATTAATTTTGAAAAATTCGATATTCTGAGAGTGTGAAATAAGGGTGTTAACGTGTATTATTTTAGTTTAAAAAATATTTTACAGGGCTATTGACTCGATACTTACTGAGAGTACTGTATTTAAAAATAAATACGCATTTTGCGATTTCAAAATAACCCGTTACGGTAGAGGGCGCAGGGGCAAAGGGTATGCAATTTTGTATGGAACTAAAATATTTTGGTATTTCTTAAAACAACTTCTTACCGGGGAAGGGAGAAAGGGGCGGGGTCTCTTACGGTTTTAAAACGAGGGTTCAAATTTTGTATGAAAAATATTGTATTAAACCTACAGCCCAAACCGCTGGATGTAGATGTGTGTTCCTTTTATTAAGTAGGCATCCACTAAGAAAGAAGTCTTGAAAAATTTAAATCCTTATATAGTAAATTAAGGTTTTAAGAATGTCTTTTTACGGGGTGCTTTCATATTGGTATAGGGAAAATTATTAAATGATTACAAAAATTCATTAATTATTAAATAATTATTAACTTTAAAATTAGTACGAATACTTTAGGATTAAAATAATGCAATTAGTTTTTTTTTTCTTTTTCCTAATATCTCACCTTAAAGTGTTAAAACAAGGATACATGGTTTGCGCGAAAAAAAATGGTTGTCAATTGCATGGTGGTGGGGAAATCCGTAAAACGAAATTATGATAATTATAAATAATACTTACTATAGAACTTTACAAAAATCTGCCCCTATTGATCATTACATGCAAAATATAAAAAATTGTCTATTTATCATTGTGTCCGAGTTAGTAATCCGACAAAAATACAGTGAGATCAGATACAGATAAAACAGCTTTACGTGCTTTCTGAAGCACAGGAATGAAACACTGCTAAACTCTTGACTCCGGCCTGCTACTGAGAATTTCTTGAATGAAAACCCAACTGATTTTAAGCCCAATGACACCTATTACTTAAAGGACAAAAAAACTCCTAGATTGAGTTTAGTTTTATTAACTTCAAAAAAAATTTTTAAAATTTATTGGTTTCACCCCGATTTTCAAAAATCGAGTTTTCATACCTCGACGGTTTTGAGATCCCAGGAAGCAATTCTGACTAATTTCACGTGGACGTACGTACGGATGTATGTATGTACGTGCGTGCGTGCGTGCGTGCGTACGTGCGTGCGTGCGTGCGTGCGTGCGTGCGTGCGTGCGTGCGTGCGGGCGTTCGTGCGTGCGTGCGTGCGTGCGTTTGTGCGTGTGGGTCTCCGTGCGTGCGTGCGTGTGTGCGTGCGTGCAATTTCTATAAATTCAATATCAATAATTAGTGATGGTACTTGTGTATTTAGGGCAATATCTTATTTGTTGTATGGAAACCAAGTATTGGCTAGAGAAATTCGGGAGCAAATTAGGGATTACGTTACCGCGGTTATTTTGTTGTATATTTACAAAATAAAACACCGGTGTACAGTTTGCCCTGTTTGTTCCTTGGTTCGTTTGTGGGCCCGTTTATTTGTTTGTCTGATTGACCGACTAACTGAATGTTTTTATTCAGATTAGTGTCTTTCTAAGTCTTCGCGACAGTTTAATTTATAAATAAATCATCATCACAGAATAGCAATAGCTGATTCCACACGAACGAAGTCGCGGGCATAGCTAGTATTAAATAATAAAATGTCAATCCGTTCTCATTTTAAATATTTTATTAAAAGTACAGTGAAGTAAAGTTATAGCCTATATACGTCTACCTCTTTGGCAAAGGCCTGCACTTATTGCTGACTTAATGCGAGTTGGCGGACTTAATATGATTTAGAAGTTCTATAGTCTTTTAATTTTGTGATACATCGGCAATTAAAAGTATCAGTAACAATTTCATTGGTGCCGAC